GGGGGGGGAATATATATATATTGATATGAATGCTGTCTTGAGAGCTTTGAGAACGAGTTAGGAGATAGTCTTTTTAATTGTTAGGACAATAATAGTCTCTTAAGAACAGAACTAGAATTTCTTAAACAAAACTAACCTGAGTCTTCCTCAGAGGTCTGTTTTGTTTTTTGCTTTGTTTTCCTTGTTTCTTGCTCTCTCACATGGGCTCTCTTGTTGGGATGAGTGAATTTTCTCCAAAACCAACAACTTGTCTAAGACAGTGAGTGGCTTATCGCTTTTGCTTAATTGAGAAACAGTATGCTTTCATAGTGCAATTCAAGGATGGGGAGCCCACGTAAAAATGAGCTTGGATATTGCGAGAGGAAACGCAGTAATTGAGTTAGATCTTTCGACCAATTCTTTTGTGGATGTGGTGCGTTTTCTGTTTGAGCAGATAGCTTCCGTAACTTAATCATAGTGATGATAATGGCCTGTATAAGAGGTTTGTTTGGGATGAATTCCTCAGTTCTGCGTAAAGAAAGGATTTTTCTGCACCACCTTCAGTTTGTATGAATTTTTTTTGTTGCTGTTGTTGAAGGAAAGATCTCTAGTTAGAACAGCTAGACTAAATGAATTGTAATCTCTTTCGGTATGTTTTTCAGTCCATAGTGAAGTATGGCCATCAGGAGAGATGTATTCATTGTTGTGGTTTTTTTGCTCTCCCAGAAGAGGGTCCTCAATCTACAGGTAGATCCACCATCCTAGAAAAGGAGTTGCTTTCCCCATGATGCTCAGAACTGCGGGGAAGATGGGTGGGAGCTTGTCCAGGTGTAATAGTGGCCCCATTTTAGCTGATTGAGTCTTAGGGGTATTTTGTTACACTTAGGTCCGGTTTGATCTGGTTGTCCCCCTTTTAAGATGCGTTCTTTTCTTCAGGATAGCGGTGGTGAACCACTGACATAGGTGTCAGTTCTAATGCCAGCAGAGGTTTGAACTGTTTATGACAGTGCACCTACAATGCTTTTTTTCTTTTTTTAAAGATTCATCATCTTTAAAGCTCACTATCAGGTTTTTCAGTGGTGTCTCATGAAAAGGACTGTACAATTAAGGTAGGAATGCCTCTCTCCTGGCAAAAGATCTTCCACAATTTTTTTTCCCTATTTTGGCATCTATAAGAAGATCAATTGTGATGCAGAAAAGTTTGCGTCGTTGGTGATATCTGTCTCAGACAGGAATACTTCTACATGCCTGTCTGAAGTTTCATATGTATGCAAACAGGACAGCCACCTGAAGTGTTTTTTCATGCCACCTAAGAAAAGGGCTTTTATGTTTGGATATCAAAACGTTTCCTTAACGTTCCTTCACTGTAAACTAGATGAGCTTTCAATTTAACTTATTGTCATGGAGGTCCTTAACTTTTTTTCCTGTGCTTTGGCATTATTTTGAGCTCTTTGAGAAAACCATTGTTGTATTTTTCTATGTCATGATGATGTTCCTGGTTGCCAGCCTGCCTTTCCTGTGTTGTCTAGAGGCTGAAGCACTATCTAATAAGGAGCAGTATTACACTTAAACATTATGATACCTTCTTTACAATAGAGCAGACTCTTTGTAAATAATATGGTTTCTTGGGGAGCCCAAAAAATCATACGCAATGGAACTTACTCTCAACCTGCTGTCCAAGCAAGAAAACTCTTCCATTCACTGGATGTTCGTAGAACAGACTTTGCGCTATATACCAAGTTTAACGCTCTGGGGCCTTCTACCATCTAAACAGCCTAAAGGAAATAGAATCAATTTTGTTTAAAATGGTTAAAACTGTAAATCTCAAGCCATCAAAGCCTGGGATGTGCAGCTTTAACATTAGTTGATTTGGTTTGCATCAGTGGGACTGGTTGCATTTGTTCCCTTCTGAAATACCTTAGCATTTTACAAACTCGCATCAACTGCTGCTTCCTTCAGTAGGAGCTGCTGCTAACAATAAAGAAATCTATACACAGTTCTGAATGTTTTTGAATAGGCTTGGTAGTTAAAAACAATTGACCTACCTAGCTCCCTACAGGTAGTTTAGCTAAACTATCTGTGGGCTAAACAGTTGTGTGTACCTTACAGATAAGAGAATGAAAAATAATGTGACTTGCTGAAGGTAAGATCTTTGAGCACAAAGATCTTCTTTATAAAAGACATTTTTGGCCAGAGGGCAAAAAAGACTATACTTCAAATTGGTTTGTAAAAATAATCTTGAGTAACACTTGATTTTATTGCTTCTACAGCAAACCAAATTCTAATGGACTGATAATAGCTGGCAATCTCATCTGGCTTTTAATGTATCTGCCTCATTCTTTCTTCTCAGGGCTAGTCCTACTCCAGTAGCTAAAAACAAGCTGATAGCACATGGTCAACAGGTCCATGGTTCCTTTTCACCAAAGGCAGATGTTTGTCAAGGTGGAACTTATGTGGGGTTGTTGTTTGTTTTTCCCCTTGTCTATCCTTACACATTTAGAAATGTCTGTAGGATCATGGGAGTTCCTTTGTAAGAGCAACTTAGGGGGTCTTAATGAAATTCATCTGAGATGTTTTGAAGTTCGTTCAGTCTACTTTAAATTGCTTATCTATATGCATAAAGTCTCATCACACCCATTTTCATTTAATAAATATGCTCTCTACCTTTAGTTGGAGGAGAGCCGAAACGTTCAAAAGCAAATGAAGATACTACAGAAGAAACAAGCACAAGTTGTGAAGGAGAAAGTCCACTTACAGAGTGAGCATAGCAAGGCCATTCTGGCACGTAGCAAACTGGAATCTCTCTGCCGGGAGCTTCAGCGTCACAACAAGACGTTAAAGGTTAACTTGTTTACGTAAATTACATGAGGGGGAAGAAGGGGACTCCTATTTCTTGATTCTTGCTTAAAATCAAAACTGCTGCTTGTTACTTACCTCTTTGTCCGTTACCTGTATCCATAGAAGATAAGAGGCATGTGGTGTTAGCGTAAGGTAAGATTCTGTCAAAGTTACAAAACTTCTAGATTCTGTACCCCATGCCCTTCATAGGGGAAGATCAGCATGACACATGAATTTGGTTTATATTAACTCTAGAACTTGAAACAATGCAGAAGCGAGTTATTACCATCAGGTCTAACTCAGATATGAAAAAGGTACATGTTTTGATTTGAACATGGTTAATATTCTTTCATAAAAGGAAGAAAACACGCAGCAAGCACGCGAAGAAGAAGAAAGACGTAAAGAAGCAACTGCACACTTCCAGATTACACTGAATGAAATTCAAGCTCAACTGGAACAGCATGATATACATAATGCCAAGCTCCGTCAGGAAAATATTGAACTGGGAGAAAAACTGAAGAAACTCATTGAGCAATACGCTTTGCGGGAAGAGGTGACTATGCTTCTGATGGGATCCTCTTAGTTTCTTGATTATAGGCATCAGATAATTATTTAATAGGGGAGGTGGGGGAAACCCTTAATATTTTACACCTATCATGTACATAATGTAAAATACTCTTTTTTACTTCATTACTTTGAAAAATAAGGTAGCTGTTTGGCCCGGTGTCTGCCTTTTCAATCTGTGGTTTTGCACATATATATTAAAGATGCATCAAAAGAAAAAACCTTTCACAGTGAAGGTGATTAAATATAGGCAAGTTGTCTAGAGGCTGTGCAATCTCTGTCCTTGGAGATATTCAAAACTCAGCTGGACAAGGCATGAGCGAGCAACCTGGTCAAATTTGAAGTTGCTCCTGGTTTGAGCAGGAGATTGGACTACATGATTTCCAAATGCTCTTTCCAACCTAAATATACATTTGATATTAAAGGTCTTTCGAAGTGCAATTTTTCATTATAATTTGGATATAAGAGTTAATGAACCAAAACAAATAAAGATATGGAGTATCTTTTGGCAAGCTCCTCTGTATGGTATAAGCTCACGTTGTTGGCATTCAGTTACCTTAAGCTGTCATTCTTTAAGAATATATTTGGTTTGGCATCATGGAAGCAACTGTATATTGGGGCTAATCGAGCTAGCTTTAATTGACACTGGTGTTTGAGATAGCTGGTTTATAAGCTACAGTAGTGTAGTAACTCAGGGCTGGCCAGTGCTTTCCTGTCAAAAAGAACCAAGTCTCATGGAGTTCGATGGCTAAGATTAGTGTTTGTTTTCAGTTGGCATAGGAGGTTTGGGCTATGGTGTGTGTTTTGTTTTGTTTTTTTCCCTTCTCCTTTAAATCTGGATCACTTGGAAAGTTCACTGTGGACTCTGATTTTCCGCCTTTTGTGGTTATAGGATATTTGTAGCTACCATGAGATGATTTGGGGAAAAAGCAGGAAGTTGTCTTATGCTACTTAGCAGCTGGAAGTAGGACCACATAATTTTTTAGTTATTTGCAGAATTTCATCAGCCAAATAGCCTATGCTTGTGAAGCTTGCTGATTTCAAGTTTTTTTTTTTTTAATTATAAAGACTAGAGCTTTTAAAAGTAATATCTAAAATACAATAAGGTTAAAAGTGGGCACTAGCTTTTGAAGGAAGAATGTAGGGTTTTTGTTCTAGGCTTTTTGAAACATCTGTTGCAAAGTGAGTGAAAATTTTCTTCCCCTTTAATAAAATATGTTTGCAACTAAGCTCCCATGAAAGATGGGAGGGAAAAAAATCTAGTTATAATAGATGAAGATGAAAGGAGAAGAAAATTCACATGTAAAACAGTATGCTTACTTTTGCCTGAGACTTCTCAAGAATACTAATTTTCTCCTCTGCCTCCCCATGCTATGTTACTTGACCTGTGCACTGTTCATATTTGACTAACCTGATTTTTTTCCTCTTTAGCATATTGATAAAGTGTTCAAACATAAAGAATTGCAGCAGCAACTTGTGGATGCCAAACTTCAACAAACTACCCAGCTTATAAAAGAAGCAGAGGAAAAACATCAGCGAGAAAGGGAGTTTGTAAGTGAATGCTATGTATGTTAGAAGAGAAATAACAAAATCCAACAGAACAGATTTTTTCATAATTTAGAGTGAATACAGTGGGCAGCAAACTGATGGTAGTGTATTCTTAAACTTAGAATAGCTTTCAACATTAAGATTGAGGTTTTTTTTTAAATAGTTTTGTGTGTATATAATGCCTATGATATTAACAGCCATATGCACAGGCAACTAGTGTTACTATTTGCATTTCCTCAATAAATGCACTAGATTTAGATTTTTCTTAAACGGGGAATGTCTTGAGCCAAAACATGGAAGGTGTGTTTGTTTTTGCTGCCGTGTGGTTTTAACTATATTTGTGGTATAGGAAATAACAAAAGCAGAATAAAGCACATGCTCTTCTAAACAGTCTATCCTAAAAGTAGTAAAGTGCCTGATGTTTTGACTGTATTTTGATCATCAGTAACTTACCTGCAGTCTTCCAAGAAGTTTTCTGTCAATTAAAAATAAAAAGCCTTAGG